CGAGAAGACTTGAAGATCTGAAGAATTGCTGGGGGAGATTTTAGTTGATTTATCCATACGCCTCACTACTCGCCACTTCTCTTTTTCATAAAGTTAGTTCACTTGATATGGATTTGTTCAAAACGACAATAAAATGAGAGAGAATATGATAATGATTGAGAGTGATTAGCGTAAAACACTGAAAAGAGAAAGCACAACTGAGGAAATTGGCATTCGAAAGATGGGAACAAAAAAAAGTGAAGAAAAAGCTGAAAAAACATTTGCAAATTTTGACACCAAAGCATTTTCTGAAATCATTTTTCATCATTGTATTATTCAACGCGATGCATTGTGATGATAGTCGCTTCTTCGAAAAACATCACATGAACTGATATGACATAGTAAGATATAATCAAAAATTGTCGTTCGCGTTTGCTAAATTTTCCATCTTTAGTGGGATTCACGATAAGTTTGTCACTATGAGCATCTCCTCGAACAAAGATAATGATTAAATTTTGACTAATTTGAACATTATGCTTGTCGAATTCGATCAGAAATGGCTTCATAGGATANGCATCCGAGTAGATGTTACGATTGAACGTAATTGTTTCGTTCGATTGCTTTTTAATGAGATGTGAACTCGACTCTATCGATAACTTTATTATTCAATGAGGGGATAGTCTAACAGTGAACAAGTTTGCTGCAAAATCGCATAATCACCAGCAGTGAGTTCTAGTCGCTCGTCTGCACCGTACGCCAGGTATCTGTTCAAGTATACATCGAACTCACCAGAATCTGGAACACCCAGCTGTGAGATTCCGTAAGCGTCCAGTACACTTTTCAACGTATCATCTGGATCGGATATCTGAAAATTCTTACCTCAATTCGAGCAAATACTTCGAACTTTTGGTTATATCAGTGTAGCCTCAGGATGAATTTCGAATGTAGCTTAATGTTCCACCTTGAGGAACGATTCAATTGGAACTGATGTTGGTTAAAACAACAACGAACATTCCATGAAATAGCAGATTAATGAAGTAGCAGAAGAAATCACACATCAATATAACTGGATGCAACTTGACTAATGTCGTTCCTAAATGAGTACTGCAAACTTGTGCAGAGTAAAAACCTTAACTAATTGATCGAATACGATTCACTCACAACATCTTCATAGAAAAGTGGCGCGGTCGAGAAACAATCTTGATATTTGGAGAAGTCGATCAACGGTTGAGCCATCAGCGCTATCAAAAATTGTAGAACGTTTTTGGGACGAATCCATTGTTGAAATGGCCATTCTTGTCGAGTTAACGTCGTCAAATATCC